CGACATGTATGGTTGTGTGACTGTTGTGTCTTTTTTAAATTTGTCGTGTTTTATGTGTTTTTAATCTTTCTTAATTTTTGTTTCTGTAAGCCGCCCGGAGTCCTGGGCGGCCTATAAATTTAATAAACAGTAAACAGTAGTTGCAAGGAATGAAACACTAATTTGAAGGTACCAAAAAAAAAAAGAGAGAGTAAATTTTCCTCTAAACTTAGGGTACACATTTATTTTTGCAACTATCCTACAAGGAAGGGTAGTCTAAGGAGTGTAGAGAAAAAAGGACTAGGGGTGACATGGTCACCCAGTATTTGAGGGGCTGCCACAATGAAGAGAGGAATAAAGTTATTTTCCAAAGTACCAGAAGGCACGGCAAGAAGCAATGGATGGAAACTACTTCAAGGAGAGAAGGAACCTGGAATTAAGGAGAAACTGCCTAACAGTGAGGACAATGAACCAGTAGAAGTTGTGGGTGATGGAGGGTTTGAAGAAGAGACTGGACAACCCATTGTCTCAAATTGTATGGGGTCTTCTGCTTGAGCTTGGACTAGATGACCTCCAAGCTCTCTTCCAGCCCTATTCTGATTAAAGCCGCAGATTAGTCATCTTCTGATCCTGTTTTTATAATATCTCAAATCATCCTGCAGATGGCAACAGTGTCATTTATTCCCTGGGTTCTTTTTGTACAGACTGCCTTTCCTAAAGATTTTGTGGGAGTTCATTCATGCTACAGCAGGTGATGAGCCTCAACTCAGAACCTGCAGGATTTACCTGAATGGGTAGATGCATCATTATCCTGCCAACCTTGTTGACTTTTTGCACGGAGAGGATGACGTGAGATGATCTTGCCTAGAAACCAAGTTTGAGTATTTGATCTATAAACAGGATGTTATGGTGTTCAAATTTCTTTCTCTTGCAGGAATTTGGCTGATTCTGAGGCTGCTTCCTTTGAACAGAAGAATTTTTCTAACTATGATTCAGATTCCTCTGCATCAGGGTAGGGTATACTAAAGAAAGACGGGTTTTTTTGGGGTGTGGGGACTAGCTTTTCAACATAATGGATGTGGTGACTCAGTGGATTGTCAATCAGAAATGTCGGCAGTTCAGCGGTTCGAATCCCTAGCGCCACGTAATGGNCTCCTTCCCTCCTTCCTTCCCCCCTTTCTTTTCTCCTTCTCTCCTTCCTTTCCCCCTTCCTTTCCTCCTTCCTTCCCCCCTTCCGTCTCTCCTACATTCCCTCCTTCCTTCCCTCCTTCCTTCCTTTCTTCTCTCCTTCCTTCCCTCCTTTCTTCTCTCCTTCTCTCCTTCCTTGAAGAATTATTTTATACTGAACTCATTTCATGAGAAGTAACTCATGAAATGGCCTACCTATGTTTTTCTTTCTTAAGATTGGAGTCATTTCTAGGGTTTGTTTTTCTTCTTTAGGATATTTTCATTTTCTCTTTCCTTTATTATATTCCTTCTTCATCGTAATTCTGAGCATATTACTTGGATGCTAGAGCCTTTGGCTTCTAATCACTAACTCCCAAGTAGATATGGTGAGGATTGGAATCTCGGTTGCCTTTTCCATCCTTGTTAGCATTATTAATAGTTTGTCATTTTGCAAACTATTTGAAATGGCTTCTTCGAACCCCAGGCAGATGTGGTGGGTTTTCCTTTCCGCTCAACCTCTTTACATCTGGAGGATGCCACTCATTCCCAGATATCTTCCATGGTTATGAATGACCTAAACTGGTAATTCATAAACTGGAAAGTAACCTTCTAACCAACTCTCCTCTGAGAGAGTTACTACTTTTAGCATGTTAGACCAATCCCAGAAACTCTAATTTACAATCCTCCCTGTGTTGGACATTGGTCTCAGGGTTTTTTCACATCCGGATCGCCAAGGTGGCCATTTTATCAGATCCCCAGAATCTAGAAATGGAACAAACAGGAACAATCAAGTTTACAACCACAGAATGTTGGGATTCAACAATGGAATAGCATCCTACTTGTACAACCAGCCCTTCAACAGCCGAAGGTAATAGTCGGAGAGCAAAATAAGTGGGCCGTTTGTAGGGATGAGAAGATATGTCCAATGTCCCACTTTAGAGAGGATGTATATCTTCATAAGGTGGAGAAGGGGGTGTTTGTTCTATTGAAAGGCCTCGTCCGTCTGAACAGCTGTCCGGTTAAAGAATTTAGAAAAGGGAAAGCAGGATCTTATTATCCAGAATTCTCTTTCTTGTGTGTTCATTATATCATTTCATTTTGTAAGGTTCCAGCAGTTTCCTCGAGCCACCGAAATGCCAAAGAGAGTGAGACTCGAGACAAGGCTTGCAAAAAGTATCAGCTTTTATTTTTGGCCTTAGCAAAAGCTGGGTGACAAAACTATATCCAAAACTATATCCAAAACAAAGGCATGTAAGGAATAGCCACACCCTGCAAGAGTAGCTCAGAGTATTATATACATTTTTTTAGGCAGATAGAAACAAATTTTATCTAATCAGAGACAAAGATTCATTACCAACGTGTCTCTGACTAACTTATCTATGGAATATTCCTATAGCCTTGGGTAGGGGGTGGCAGCCCCTCTTTGCCAAGTTGTTTTTTCAGCGGAATGCTTTAAGGATTTATGATCCAGGAAAACTCCCTAGTTTGGTTCCTTTATCTATGGGGCCTGATATTCCCATGTAACAATTTCTTCTACTAGCTTTCAAGAATGTGCCTAGCTTTGAAGCCATAAACAGAAGCGAGACGCAGCAGTGAGATAAAATTTGCAGTAATGCCATCCAGTATTAAGGTTACAATTTTTTAGGCTAGAAAACAACTAATTTCTGACAGTATACAATAATTTAAGCAGAAGCCAATATCGATTCATATTGATTCATGTACTCCTTCAATTTATTGTTGTGTTGTTGCTGTTGTTGTTTGTTAAGACTTGAATTAATACATATCTACATATCTATTTCTTCCTAGTATGTCTTACTACCCCTTCAGAGATGCTGGGACTACCGTTCCAAAAAGCCATAGAGTGCCTTTTTATAAGGACATCTGTGACACTGAGAGTGGAAGGTAAAGATTAAGAATGAATATCCTAATATTAATTAATACATGAATTATTAGAATCTTTTTTTTAAAAAAATCAGGGCACCAAACCAACTGGATGTCCTTGGGCCAGTCATTCTCACTCAGCCCTAGGAAAAAAACAATGGTAAGCTGTTACTGAAATCTTGCCAAGAAAACTGCAGGGACTTCTCCAGGTAGGTCTCCGGACCNGAGCTTCATCCCTGGAAGCTTTCAAGAAGAGACTGGACTGCCATCTGTCAGAAATGGTGTAGGGTCTCCTGCTTGGGGTGGTGGGTTGGACAAGATGACCTATAAGGTCCCTTCCAAATCTGTCTTATTAAGGTTTCTAAATCAAACCTTGTTTCCTACTTGTATAACTTTGCAAAATGTGAGATTCTTCAACTCAGTAACATCTCTATATTAAAAAGTCTTGGAGTCTCAATATATTTAAGTCTTAGTATTTCAGATTAAGCCATCTCCTTCTTTTCTTAAAGGGAATGCATAGATTATACCAAAATCTGAAATTATTTCCTGGCTGGAGGGTGTCAAATGTTAGAATTAAAAATATCCATGCCCTTCTGAGAGTGACGCACTCAACTAGGTTTACTACTAAAAGAGTATTCACATACCTTGTGAAGTTTCACTAAAGGATAATAGGAAATTATTCTAACAATGCCTTTTGTCAATTGAGGCATCCTTTTTTCTCGGCATATTAATTTTTATGTTCCTTGTAATCAGTGAATTTGTTCTAAGCGACTTGGCTGTTAGACAACATAAAGAGTGTTTTTCTTCTCTTGCATTGTGTTACATTTTTTATTTCGTGGTGTTCAATCCCTTTAGAACCTGACATTAATTTTACTTTAGAGGCCTTTGTTATCTTGATGATTATAGATCACGGCTTATCCTGAACAGGAGATGCCCGAGGAGCATGTTCTTTGCCAGTTGATCATAAGCATCTCCTTGTTAGAATAATTTTAATTGTGTTCTTCTTTCCTTTTGATAGAAAATCTAACCTGCATTTTCACAGTCAATTGAGCTGTGTTACAAAGAAGTATGATAAGGCATGTTTTTAAGACTGAATGTGTGATATTTATTATGCATTGCTTATCCATCTCTCCTCCTCATTTCTCATCTTCTGCCCCCCCCAAGTTCTTCCCAATGGATTTTTGGGGGTCCTAGATTCCTCAACAACCATGCGGTAGCTTTTATCTTCTTCATCTTGAGTTCTTTTCAAATAGCCAAATATTTTTGATTGATATTTGAAGAATTTTTTTTCTTTTTTTTTATTAATTTATTTTATTTTATCAATTTCATATATACATTCACAATTATATGATCTCATAGCTGTTATTAATAATATGTATTTATA